ATTTCTTTGCTGCAGAGACTGAATGACCTTCACCCCTGAAAGAAAGATTTTTTCATCAAGCCCCTTTTCTCAGATGGCCCCAGGACCTCTGGAAGATGATTGGGGAATAACCAGCATTCACAGAGCCACTGAAGCACTTCACCTGCCCTGCCTGTGACTCCTCTGCTTGGTGTCAGTGCTATTTGTGTATTAATTAGTCTGGGGTTTTCCTGCATCTGAGTTACCTCTGTGTGTCCCTGGAGACCCAGCACAGTTTCTGGTGCACAGGAAGAGCCCAATAAATGGGGTTGGTTGAATGAATAAGCTAACGCCATCTAACTGTTCTCAGATTGCTTTAATGATGGTCTTTGATGCCTTTCTGCTTTGCCTTATTGATCACTGTTTTCCCTGATACCTTTTACTGTAGAACACACACACACACACACACACACACGCTGGGTTAATATATTGCACAGTAGAAATGTAATAAAAGATTGAGCTGGGCTACATTCACACTTGTTAAGACCAGTCCTCCAAAACACTGAAAAAATGATGGATTGCTTAGTCCTGACCCTTTGCACATTTTAGCATGATAAAATCTCATGGTAGCGTCTGATTTCAGAGCGTACGAGTAGACCTTGTGACAGCCTGGGCTCCTGGTGGGTTTGGGAAAGCATTTATTATAAAGCTAAAATTAAACTACAAGTTTTTACACGTCGTTTAGTGGCAGCAGCTGATGCAAATCTGTGTCAACACAGAACTCACACCTCGGGTTTCAACTACAGTAAGTGGATTACCGTGTAAGACTGGTATTGGGCTTGGGGCTTTGAAAATGAATGAACTAAACGTGGGGAGATTAAAAGTCATGCTTTTATCTCCCTTTGAGTGAGACTCTTTCAGAATTTTCAGAATTTAGGCCACTTCTCTTTTCTGTGGCACTTCTGAGTCTCCTTGTTCCAACCAGGGCGCCTGGGTCAAAATGGAAAAACACCAAATGCTTGTGACAGTGAGTGATTGTCTTCACTGGAGTACTTGGGAAGTGTCCTTGTCTGGGCCCTGGAAAGCCAATCTCACCAAGCTCTCGTTTGTGGTGCTGAAAGGACCTCTGTGTTTTGCAGGCTCCTGCCCTGCTGCCCACGTGGCTTTGGGGCTGCCATATCCCTCTGTCCTTTCCTGGCTCCTCCTTGTCCATCTTTGATAAAACATCTTGTTTAGAGGGAAAGATCGAAACTGAATTCATGGGAAGCTCTGCTCTCCACACGAGGTCCCTCCCAGGGTCATGTACTTCTGGTGATGACAACCCTCTGTGCACAAGTTTTTTTGGGGCAGAAAAACATATCTCAACATATGCCATCACAGAGGCAGCTACAGGCTTCAGAATAAGATGGGAACCAGGACATAGGGCAAGATTAAAAAAAAGGCGCCCTCTAAAGTTGAAGCTAAGGAGACCTTCAATTGGGTGAGTGGAATTTGGGGGAGCCAGTTGTAACATGGACTATATGCTGTTGTTATTTGTGGTTATTATGCAGTCACTGCAATTATTTTAGATGTTTTGATCTTCTTTGAGTGTTGTTATTTATTTTTACGTGTTTTTTTTTTTTTTTGGTCTGGGGCCGGGTTTGAACCCCGCCCCCCTCCAGTA